GGGGTGGATTTTAACTAAGGGGTTTCATTAATAAGTGTTCTCTCTCTCTCTCATTGTACAGGTCCAATCACAGTATCCTGATTATCAGAATATGTCCACCATATTGGAATGGGCTAGGAAGTCAAGAGAAGTTGGTCAGTATCATTTATTGGAGAACACAGGAGAAGAAGGAACCACCTCTGATGTTGACGGAGTCACACCCACTAATAATGGAGTCCCTCCCACTAATAATGGAGCCCTGCCCACTCCTGTTAACGGTGCTTATGATCATCTTTCCCCTCCCACTGGTTATGATAAAGTTATTAATAATAATGATGAGGATGTCCCTATTTATTAACTTATAATTAACTTTATTATTAATTAAAAAGACAAATAATGTAATTATTAATTAGTTTTTAGTTTGTGAGTGTCATTAACTTTTAATTTAGTGTATTTTTAAGTATTTAAATAATATTAATAAATTAAAATAATTATACTAAAACTTCACTATTGGTAGTGGTTTGTGTGGTTGTTCTTTTCTGTGTCTATCAATCAATGTCTTCTCTTGATCTTCAAGAGTATCCACCAGGAGAGAAGTGATTCTAGCCCTAATCTCAATATATTCAAGTGATGGATGGATGAAGATAGTTTCATATAAATGTTGTACTAGTTCTATCCAGTTAGGTTGAGATGACTTATAATTAATATCTCTACACTTTATCTTCAGTTGTCTGATGGTTGTATGTGACTGTAACATGTTAGTAACAGCAGGTAGTACCTGTTCATAAAACAATGGTGTCATTATTTGTTCCTTCTCTTCATCACTACAGTTACTGTACGACTGATCTAGTTTGAAGTTCACTTCAAGTTCTGTGAGATTGTTCTTTTGAGAGATGACATTAATAAAAGTTCTTATCTCTTCATTCAGTGGAATGGATACATTCAACTCCTGTAGACTGGTGTTGTGTCTGAGACCAGTTGTTAGGAAGGACAGGAATGAACTGGGAATGTAATTAATCTTAAGGTATTTCAGTGTTTGGTTTTGTGTTAGCATGTCTTGTAGACTAGTACCCATACTGCTGGTATATACTCTCTCCTCCTTTATCTCCACACTCAGAGCTTTAAGTGTAGTATTGGTTTGTAGAATAGTAAATAGTTCAATAGCACTCTCAGCTGTGTCTAGTTGTAAAGTAAGTATATGTAGACTGGGATGAGAGAGAAATAGAAGATCTGGTGGGTATGGATCATGTAGTATCAGACAGTGTAATCCTTTGATATGTGGAAGGAATGATGATGTCATCAGTTTATTACTCTCCTCTCCTATCTCTAGAGCACTAGCAGTCAGTGGTGTGTTCACCTCTACTATATTCAGTGATGATGGTAGGAGTTTATTAGGTATGTTCAGTGAAAGAGCTTGTAATGTGTTGTTGTCCTTTAGTAACTGCTCTATTACTCCATCAGGTAGAGGAGGAAGAGTAATCATTGGACTCCCTTGAAAAGTAGCCATTTTTTTAAGAACATGTATTGTTAATGATGTTATTGTTTTATTTCTTGTTACTCCTCTAATGACACTGATAATGGTACTTGTTATTATTTCATTGCGTCTATCATACAGAATCTTCATTTCTTGTAGTGTTGAATTCATTTCTATACATTTCTCAAGTTCAGTGCACTTGTCTGTGTAGTATGTATTGTCAACTGTTGGTATAGCAGGACCGACCATTATTAAGTGCAGTATCTTCAATTGAGGAAGATTGAGGAACTGTAACAATACAAGACAGGGAACATATTGACCTTCAAGTATTGCACAGTAGCACTCCTGAATATTGTATAGAAGTGATGATTGTAATAATTTGTGTATTAATTCATCAGTGGGTTTCTCCAACATTACCTCTAGTCTCTTACACTGGGTCTGTAGTGAGTTATTGGTTAGTCCAGCAGTGAAGACTGATAGTGACTGGTTAGATACATACCCCAGGTGCAAGTGATTCCATGTTGTGTTGGAATTGTTTATACAATAACTGAGACACAACCAGTCAAACAATGATAATGATACTTTATACAGACACAGTGAGTGGTTGTTGATGGATTGTACTAATACTT